AATTCTGATTAATTTATATCTATCACATTTCCCACAGCTTGTGCGCCAAATTGCAATAAGTGTTCTACCAACGATGCCAATTTGTGCGATCCGAGTTCATGTTCATCTGGCTACTTTCTGGCAAGTGACAATACCTGTCAAAGTTTGTTTCATCTTAATTCATTTCAGACGATATGATCAAATTTTACTGTACTGTGATTTTTCAAAACTGCACCATAAAAATGTGTTTATAGAATTTATATAGTGCATAGCAGTTCTCACAAGCGCTCTTAAAAAGTTTTATTGAATAGGAGCTTAAAAACAAATAAAAAAAATTATCTGTTTTGTTATAATTTCATCAAACTCTTTATCAACAATAATTCAATAAGAAAATATTTATTCATTCATTCATTCCTGGCCTCCAAAGTACTGTCTGTTTCAAACAGCGGGTCCGACGCAGCAAAGCTTCGTGAACCTGTCTTCAATTTTGAATAATTCTATAATCAATTAAATTCATACAATTTGTTTCCCAAAATTTATGTTCACTTTTTTGCGTATAAGAGAACAAGAATATTCTTTTGGATCATTGCTTTCTGTAGTTAGTCATATTTTCTACTTGTTTACTACACAAGAATGAAATAATACTCGAAGTTCAAATTATTGGGCTACAAGCAGTTGTTTGTATTTAATTTTTGGAGTGTGCAGTCAACACGTGATTGTATTAGAAAAAATCACCATATAAACACTCATGATTCGTAACAATTAAGCAAAAGGTGAATTGATCCCGTAAATGAGGTTTGATGAATGGGTGGTTTAAACATGGATAATCAAATGTTTTTACGTAAGTTTTTTGAGAATGAAAAAAAAATTGAGTAATTGAGATGGAGCGATTATCAATTGGTGAATTGAAAATTTTTATTTTTAAAAGGGAGTAAATGATTGGCCTGAATGTAACATGCGCTGTTTTAGAATACCAACTCAATTGAACTACTGGAAAACGTGCCAATTAGTTTTGTAAATATGTAATGAAACACGACAGTGGTTTAAAACTATAAAAGATGCAAGATAAGTCGACACAATATCTACCACCAACAGTTTTTATCACGCCTCTAAAAGAGGATGCAGTGAATTTTTACTTTTCATGACATATATAGTTTAGAGAACAAACCTAGTTCAAGCTGTATTTTTATTGGTAAGTTTTTTGAACACCAGCATTAACACTGTTTGACATATACTTTTTACCTTGTCAGTATGTTTACAGCTATTTCAAAAATTAGCATGAAACAGCACCAGTGATTGAAGTGATGTTTATATTGTAAAATTAATTTTTAATTACAGAATGTGCACCAGGCTGCTCGACATGTACTTCTATCGGCGGCTGTTCCTATAGTTAGTTTTTGAGTTTTTGTTTGTACAAATATATTTGTCAATTTTCAGATATTTGCCATTTTTGTGTTTTGTCGTTGTATTATAAAGATAAAAACATTTATTCGTTATCAACATTTTTCAAATCGACAACAAATTTGATCTTAATCGGTACAACCGTCTTAACCTATTATAAAACTTTAATTAAAAACTATCGATTAAAAAAGTGGTATGATCACATGGTGTGAATCTAAATTTTTTTACAATGATAATACGAACATCAAATATTGATACTTGGGCTATATAAAATCGGATGAGACCATAGATATAGAAAATTAATAGACAAGTAACGTTCATATCATACATTCGTGTATAACATTGATTGCTACGAGATCTTGTTTAAAACTCCGAACAAATATTTAAAAATTTAATCTAATTTTTTTTAATTGGGGACAGAGGAACGCGAAGTTCGCGCCGTTATTTCATATGTATGTATGTGTGTGTGCGGGCTCGCGAGTGTGTGTGTGTGTGTGTGTGCGAGCCTATGAATAAAAACAAGAGCTATAGAAGCTATCATTTCATTCCAGCTCGTTAAATAATATAGGTTTTGAGGTTTCGCACAGCATGGCTTTCATTAATACTTTCTAAAATGCAAAATGAATTAAACCTATTCAGTAAATTCGAAGTATATTGTAGCACGTTTATTTTATCGTGTGTGTTATGTTAAGTGTATCAAAATTAACTTTATTGCAACACGGTGTATAGCAAATAATAAATATTATTAAAAGAAATTGAATTACAAATTAATATGGTCTTGCAATGAAAACTGGAAATATACTATTCAAAAGAATATTTTTCGCTGAATTTTTGTTTACGAAAATAATAGCAATCGCTCGACTTTACCAAAAGAAATACCAGCAAAAAATGAACAAATAAATAAACAAAACATTCATTCATTCAATAGGTGAGTCACATTTTTGTTTGTCATTTTTTTGTACAACTCATTTGGATGCAGTTAGTGCAAGTGCTTTAAAATTAGTTTGAAGAATAATACCGTATAAGTGTGTTAAATTCGACCATCTAACTCAAAAATGTAACAGCTTATAAGTGTGCTTGGCAGGTAAAAAAAAAGAAAGAATTGAATTAAAGAATAATTAAGTTTGGGTGAATAAATAATACCATTTAGTAGATAATTTTATAGTGTATTATTTGTGCACATTTGGTACTAATATTTACGATGTTCAAAAATATTTTGGTTTCGGGTTTTATTTATTTATTCAAAACCAAATCAATTGCAACTTATTTTGGAGACCAAATAAGAATAATGCTTGTATATGCCACGGTGCCACTACGAAAGAAAACATTAAACATTTAAAGTAAGTTCGATGTTTGATAATAATTAAGCATTTTTACGAAAATCGAACGATGTAAACTTGGTAAATATAATATCATAGTTATTGAAGTATAATGAATAACTAAGAAGACAACAAATTAAACTTTTAACGCGTTACTGTGTTTGCAGATGGAAATAAAATAATTGAAAATATTTAGTTATTTTTGAACAAGAATTTGCGCTATACCGTTCAAAAAATAATTTCACACAGCTTTTCTGGTGTTAGTGCAAGTTATTCAAAATGAGTTTAAGCTTAACACTGTATATGGCAATTATAAAATGAAGTATTATTGCATTTTTTGATGTATAAAAGATTTAGGAGCAAATTGGTTGAAGCACTCAAAAATGTAAATGTACCTATATAGCAAAATAAAAATTCGTTGAATTAGTTAGAATTTTCATGAACCTACACATGTATTCGCTGCGATAACAACTGATCTGACAGCTTCTGTATCTGTGGCACAAACGTGTCATACTTAAAGCGGGGAGCTTCACACGATATCAATATAAAAATGTCATTTGTAAAAGGATTTAATTAATTTAAAGTACAAAACGTAATTTACATATATTATTTTTTAATATTGCAAAGATATAAAATATCAATAAACATATAAATTATTTATACATTATGGCTATGTCATATTATTCCGAGCAGCTTCTGGTCTTAATTGTGCAAAAAATATGTGTCATTCTGCTGCTGGCCAGTGTGATGTCTGTAATGAAGGCTACGTCCTCGATAGAATCGGATATACCTGCACCGGTTGGCACTCTTTTCACTTTTTTATTTTTGCACGCATAAAAATTGTGTGATTATATTTAACTATGCTGACTGTGCACTCTAATGAACCATAAATGTTTATGTGATACATTACAATTTTTAAATTAAGCAAAATTAAGTCAATTAAATTGAATTAAAAGGAAATTGACGTTCGAAATTTTTAATTTGAATTTAGATAATATGTGCACCAAATTTTCCATTCTAATTTCCTTATATATATATATATATATATATATATATATATATATATATTATATATATATATATATATATATATATATATATATATATATATATACATATATATTATATATATATATATATACAATTATTTATAAAGATCACTGCTTTTTCGGCATTATTCAATTTGTAATTGAGTTTCTCATTTTTTCTAACGAGACTTTTATCATTTTGATAAAATTTATTAAGATTAAATAAAAAACTTTTAATATTTGACATTTTTGACAAAACATTATTAATAACGTTATTACTACAGAAAAGCTCTTTTCGGCATCAACTGCCATCATCAGTGTAGTTATATAGTGTTGCTCCGTCTTTGTGTCTTTGTTTTTACAGCGATTTGGATTGTAACTTACTTAGAATTAAAATTAATCATTCATGTGTTATATATACATATATATATAAATATATATAATATAAATATAGATATATATAATTTATCCTGATTGTGCAAAAAAATTCAAATATAATTTATCCTGATTGTGCAAAAAAATTCAAATAATATATATATATATAGATATATATATATATATATATATATATATATATATATATATATATATATATATATATATATATATGTGTGTGTGTGTGTGTGTGTGTGTGTGTGTGTGTGTGTGTGTGTGTGTGTGTGTGTCAAAATAAACAATGTATTAATTCAATTTTATTGAATGAACAAAAATTCGCTCTATTTACTATAATAATCAAGAAAGGAAAGGCGTAATGTCTCTAATAAAATTATAGTGGAAGTTAAATCAATCGAATGACAATATTTATTGTTTTTTATTTAATTAGTTACGAGTCGAAGTAATTTATAATTTGATGCATCCGTTTGTGCAGCATGTGGAGATAACTGTTTGTCGTGCAACTTGAATGGAGCTGGTAAATGCGATCTTTCCAAGTGCAGGACTGGCAGTGAAATTGAAACTAATTCCGTCTACGATCCTGCGAATAAACTTTGTCAAGGTATGTTAAACTTTACCATTAATGTACATTGGTACATTTTAATAATATTAATTAAAAATAAAAATTTTAGCAAATATTTGGTGTTCTCATTTTATTACTTTTTAAAACTTGGCTGGAATGTTGAATAAATTTTGTAATATCAGAAATTTTATTCTGATCGCACAGGGGATCGCAAGTTATTGATGGAGAAGTTGAAACTCCAAATTTTAATACTTCCTTTGTATTTTTACCAAAAGTTTTTGACATTTATAGTTTGCAAAATATTACTTTAGATCGCTGAAATGTGGTGGATTCATGTAGTTTCATAATCTGCCAATCATTAAACTGCGACTTGACGTTAATTTAATTTTTTGAAATTGTTAACAACTGCATACAACATCTTCATAACAATGAAATCTCCAAACGTGCAGTTACCTTAGGATCAACTTTCTGGATTGATTTTACGTTGGCAAGCAACTCTTCATTTCTTATGACATTTTATGACATGACATCTTATTTCTCATAACAAACAATTTCTAAACATTATTTTTTGGGGAAAATAT